CCCCCCTCCCCCCACAGGCCATGTGGCTAGAAGCCCACTACCAAGAAGCGGAAAAACTCCGCGGCAGGCCCCTGGGACCCGTGGACAAGTACCGAGTCCGCAAAAAGTACCCGCTGCCTCGCACGATCTGGGACGGCGAGCAGAAGACGCACTGCTTCAAGGAGCGAACCCGCAACCTTCTGCGCGAGTGGTACCTGCAGGACCCCTACCCCAACCCGACCAAGAAGCGGGAGCTGGCCCAGGCGACTGGACTCACGCCCACACAGGTGGGCAACTGGTTTAAGAACCGGCGACAGAGGGACAGGGCGGCGGCCACCAAAAACAGGTCAGTTTACCAGAAGAATAATGTGATCCATAATAATAATATAGATAGTAAATAGATTATAATAATGTTTTCTTTGTCTCAGACACCATCACCACCACCCATAACAGAACGAGAATAATAGCAGCATCATCACTGTGAACAACATCACCTCTGATAAAAACTGCAACGAAATAGATTGAAACAAACAAAAACAAACAAACAAACAACCCCCCCCCCAATCTTTTTTTTGAAAATCCCGGCAAACTTTCAAAAGTTTCCCCTCAACTTCCACTGCACCTGGCTTTGATCCTGCCTCCCAAATCTCTACATTCAACTTAATAATAAGCGAACGGCCATAAATTCACTGAGGCCACGCATTAGTTGTGGTCATTCATTCACCATCATCATCAAATACCATGTCTGGTTTTTTTGGTTTTGTTTTTGTTTTTAAAAATTTTTAGTAGAGGTTTTACGGCGCTCGCAACTGCATAAGGGCATGTGAGCGCCATCCATGTCTGTGACAGACATTAGGGACCAAGATTTTACATTATTAATCTTTTGCTCGGATGCTCTGAAAAAAAAGCTACATTATCATGATCTTTCCGTTACCTATCTGTTTAGGTTCTTCAAGTTGGTTACTCCGGGTTTACCCTTGCCTTGTTTACCCTCAAGTTTTGCTAGTGAGCGCTAGATGTTCTGGTCATTACATAAACGATTAATTTAAAGACAAACTGTTTTTATGGTATATATAATATCTAATTTTAAAAAAAAGAATAACTTCATTATTTATACAGATTTTTCAATTCTGTTTCTTCCTTTATCTGAAACTTAAAAAGCCAGGCATTAGATCTATGTGTCTTCCATGAAATATGCAGATTTGTGTTTCAAATGTGTGTATCAGTGTGTGTGTGTGTGTGTGTGT